GGAAGACAATTGGATTTGTTAAGTAGGAATGGTTGAGCATCATTACTACTTGTTTTTTGCAGCATCCTCAGTGGACTAGGTGTTATGTAGTCTTAAAACAAACAAACAAAGCACCATCCCTGTTTTGAAAATCTTATACTATGTAAAGTGATTTTAAAATTGTTTCTGGTTGCTAGATTTATACTATAACAAATAGAACACTTTCCAGTAAGCACTTGATGACCAAAATAAGAGAGGTTACTGAGCGTAAAGCTGACCTTAGATTGTGGCTTCTGATTTTGTCCCTCTTTCAACAAGGTCAAACAAGCGTGATTGAAATCATTAGGTGAGCTTCTTATTTGTTACAGATTGTCTAAGTTTGAGCTGTATATGGAATTCACATCTTTATATAAACTTGACTGACCTCTGTTAATGTGATGGGACTTAAAAGCCAGTTCTCAATGTTATTTACCATGGTTCTGCAATACTTCCCTGAAACAAACAAACAAACAAACAAACAAAAAAAACTAAGAGCAGAGAAACCCACCCTCAAAACTAGCTATTGGGGAGGTTTCCAAACTGTCTGCTTGGAATTGGAGGTAAGTAGAACTGGGTGGGAAGTGGAGTTTTTTAAAAATATGTTTAATGGCAGATGGGGAGTGAAACCCTGCAACACAACAGAATATAGTTAGTTCCTAAATTAATTTGCTGTCCTTTATTGTTTTTGTTTGGGGAAAGAACATCTTAATAATAACCCAATATCATCTAATCAAACCATTGTTGTCCTCTTTAGGAAAAATGGCTGGGTTATTGGCTCACTGAGGCAGTAGACAGAAGTCTCTTTAAACTAGAGATTAGGAAAAATATAGAACTGGACCCAGGATCTGGGGGTGGGGAGAGGGGGAAGGTGGAGTATAAAATGGCTATATTGTGGTACTTTCCTGTCTGGATATTGCCACTTGACAATGTAGTCCCCCATCTCAGTCTGGTCTGGTAGCTCTTTAGGGCTGACACTTATCAGAAACCCATGTATGCAGGGGTGGGTAGATGTGGAATGAGTGGATGTAACTGAGAGAGGGAAGAATTGAGTAGATAAGATAGAAAAGTAGGCTTTTAAGAATATACAGGTCATTTTTGGGGGTGGTGTGGTGAGGAAGAAACAGAAGAGACAAAATATAGGAGAGGTGGTAAAGAGCATAATTGTAACTATAGTAAAAGGATGGTATTCCTCTGGTGTGAGAGGCCAGTAGCTGGCTGACTGATTAACCCCAGCTGCCACACTTGGGAGAAGACCTGAAACTTAATGGGCTGGTCCTCCAAAAAAAAAAAGGGGGGGGGGCAGCCAGAAGAGGCTGGAGCGACTGTTGGGAGGAACTGCGCCCAGAAACAAAATGGACAGGAGGGAGATTGGAAAATCCTGTTATCACAAAGGCTCTGAGGTAAAAGTCAGGAACTTCTGGGCTCAGGAACTTACAGGCTTGGGGGACAGACTTAGAAGTTTTGATCTTGTTTTGTTGAGGAAACTTGAAATAAAATAAAAGAAACTTCAAGAACTGACCCTGTTGGAAATGACCTTCTCACAGAGTCCAGGGAAGGTTCACAGGGAGAGTGCTGGCTCAGCCAGAGCAAACCTGGGTCCAGCTGGAAGAGAGGGCTATAAGACAGGCCCCACTTTACAATAATGTAGGGAAAGAGGTGTAAAAAGAGAGAACATTGGAAAATGTAGGGAAAAAATCCATTATCTTTAAGAAAAATAATTAAATGGAAAGCTTATCTAGGGTTTTTAGTTACCATTATCAAGAGTACAGCTCTCTTGTCCTTTTAAATTGTAGGGCCTTAGTGCATGGCAGTTAATGTACTGCCATATCTTGTCTGGTAGGTTTACTTCTTGGGATAATATCTATTGTATGCATTTTCCAAGTTCTGATACCTTAATCTAACTGATCAAAAAGTGGATACAGATCTTCCTTACCAGTATGGAAGAAATTAAAGTTTCTTGATAGCAGTGACTATGTAATGCAGTCAAAAACATTGCATTTTAAGTATTGTGAATTTAATAGTTAGCTGATACTGTAAATACTTTCCTAAAATTTAACTTTCCTGTGAATAAATTACCTCTGAGCCTCAACAAGACCAGAATGCTACTTGTGTAATGTAAGTATTCTTTGACTGGATAAACATAATGGTCCATTTAGTGGACCTTTAAGGCAGTTACAATCTCAGATTTTCAAAAATGAGTCCCCAGTGGATTTATGCCAGGTGTACTTCCTCCAAATAACTGTAGAGGTATTTGTTCATTTCTGAGTGTATACATAATACAATGTCTGAAGCTTTCAATAATACATCAGAGAAATAGTTAAAATGAACAGTGTTCTTCTGAATTAATGGAGGAGTGTCTAAACTTTAGATATTAAGCAGGTAGAGCCCCCTGAACTGAATTTCAAAGGGAAATTAGTTTATTTTGTGGGGAAGGGAAGAACAATACATACTAGCATGTGTAGAGGTGCACTGTAGTGCTTAAACTGTTAACACATACTATTCTTGTTCTCTTCCCTTATAGCTCAAAGGTCAGATGAACAGAACAGTAGCTGGTGTGTAGGTAACAGTCACGACTATGCCAATATGTTAGTTTTCTGTAAGTTTTCGGGTGTTTCCTTTCAGCACTTTTGTGGAAACCAACTCCATTGAGGTTGCTCTTCCTCTGCAAAATTATATATGGTCTACAACTGGGCGGAATAATGGCCCATGTCAGTTTGGATGCAGCATATTCATTTCAGCTTTGTCTGAAGATTGCTTTGTTTATAACCTCTAACTTTTTTTTACCACATTTAATCAGTATGCATTAAAGTAAATCAGTAAAGACTTGTTGACAATGTAAAGAATCTTCTAGCACATACAGTGCCCTGTTTCATAATAGAGCAGCATACTTGCATTTAGTTAAGCTGTATTGGTAAGTGACACTAGTCTCTAAGTACCTAACTTCATTTACTGCAATTATGCACTCAGTTCATGTTGAAAAGAGAGAATGGTACAGCCAACACTAATGCATGCTGCATGACAGCCTCTTATCTATGGGCTTGTCTGAACAGCAGTGGTTAGCTCAAGTTAATGTACTCAGAGTGGTTGGTTAGCAACTAGTGAGTTATAACTATCTGTTGATTCCCCACTGCATTATTAGCTCATGTGAACCTCAGTAGCACTTAAGCTTCAAACCATATCCCTAATGGTTTAGCTCAGGGGTCTGTGTTGCTCTTGCTTCAGGCAGCGCCCCCAGCAGCTCCCATTGGCCGTGGTTCCCCATTCCCGGCCAATGGGAGCTGCTGGGGGCAGTGTCTGAAGTAACAGCAACACACAGACCCCTGTTCTCCTCCCCCAGGTTCCAACCGCTTCCCAGAGCGGCGCAGGGGCAGGGCAGGCAGGCAGGGAGCCTGCCCTGCCCCTGGTGCACGCCAGGCCAGAGCCTGCCCCCCGAACTCCTCCTGCCCCCCGACCCCCTGCCCTGAGCCCCCTGCCACACCCCTCCTGCACCCTGACCCCCTGCCGTATCCTGCACCCCAACCCCCTGCCCTGAGCCCCCTGCCATACCCCGCACCCTGAGCCTCCTGCTGCACCTTGCACCCCGACCCCCTGCCCTGAGCCCCCTCTTGCACCCCACACCCCAATTCCCTGCCCTGAGCCCCCGCCATACCCCACTCCCCTCCTGCACCCCCTGGGGGCAGGGAGGGGGCAGAGTTGGGGTGGGGATTTCGGGGAAGGGGTTGGAATGGGGGCATGGAACAGGTGGGAAGAAGCGGGGTAGGGGTGGGGCCTCATGGAAGGGGTGAAGTGGGGGCGGGGCTGAGGGCGGCAGGGGGAGGTGTCAGTAATGCGGCCCTCAGGCCAATGTACTAGTCCTCATATGGCCCTCACGGTCATTTGAATTTGAGACCCCTGGTCTAGCTACCTTGAGTTTAAAATACCACTTAACTTGAGCTAGAGATCTTGTGTGTGAATCGGAATCAAGTTAGGGGCAAAACTTGAGTTATACTTTAAGCTAATAAGGCAGTGAAGACAGGTGCCCAGTCAAAATTGAGCCGATGCCTACAGCTCTTTCAGGGATTTCTTTTCCATTGGATTAGAATTAAATATTTGAGTCTGCTGCACATACTCCACGAAAACAGTTGTAGCTGCAGTATAAATCTTAAAACTTGGCTAGGGCTAGCTGGGAGAAATAGAATGGTATAAGACGTGCTGTGAGGTGGGGGAAGAGAAGGGAGAGCATATTTGTACCAAGTGTATTGAAGTAACAAGGATATCTTTGCCAGAATAGACCCAAAGTCACTTGGCATTCTGTCTCAGACTGTATGTAATGCATCAAATGATCAAGTACTGTTCTTAAGGAAAACTTGTGTATGAAGAACGAAGTTTGCTATCACTTACATTTTATTTTATCCATTATAACAGGTACTAGCATGTATATATTGAATACTTTTAAAACATACTGAATCTGCTTTGATAACTCTCAAAAAATGTTCTAAATATTTTTGTATTGCTCAAAAGACTTCTAGGAATTCTGTGCCTCGATTGGATTAGCATGCAATTTAATTTGTGCTGACTTTCTTGGGAGGTAATAAATTCACTCTCCTTTGGAATTAGTTCTCTCAGCATTCATTTTCTGCAGAACTACAAAGTAGATCCAGTTTCCATTAGTGAGATCTTGAGACTAGACTACAGTAATGTGTGTTTAGGGCCACTTGTAGCAACCACTTAAACTGTAGCTACTGCACAAACTGGTACTACTGTTTAAGACTTGTTCATGAGTCTGGAGCCTGTGTTCAGTGACTTATACTAACTGTATATTGTTAAATGTACAGGTCCAGTGTCTTGTTTTGAGGAAAAATAAAACTACATTCTTAGACTCTGGATAAATAGCTAAAATGTCTTTAAAAATAGCAATTCCGTAGCAGGGACCTCTTAAAAATATCTGTTTCAGTGTAGTAAAAAATGAGGACACTTAAAATTATCTTTTTTTTCCCTTTAAGGTTTGGACCCCATGGAATCCCTGTGACCATATTTCCTAAAAGGGAATACAAGGATAAACCTGAAGCCATGCAGCTCCAAAGTAAACCATTCCAAGATGAGACACAGGTGAAGTGTGAAGCCAGTGGTGCAATCCCTGATGACTCTTCTCCGATTCAGCCATCAGAACCTAGCCTCGCTAAAAGCCTATGGACTTCTAAACCACCTCCCCTCTTCCATGAGGGAGCGCCATATCCTCCTCCTTTGTTTATCAGGGACACGTATAACCAATCAATACCTCAGCCTCCGCCCCGAAAAATTAAGCGGCCCAAGCGGAAAATGTACAGGGAGGAACCCACTTCTATTATGAATGCTATCAAATTACGACCTAGGCAAGTCTTATGTGACAAATGTAAAAACAGTGTTGTTGCGGAAAAAAAAGAAATTAAAAAAAGTGGCAATGCAAGTGACTGCTTAAAATATGAGGATCATAAAAAGCGAAGAAATGAGAGTGTAACTACTGTGAATAAAAAAATTAAAACTGACCATAAAATAGATGGAAAAAGCCAAAATGAAAGCCAGAAAAGAAATGCTGTGGTCAAAGTTTCAAATATTGCCCACAGCAGAAGCAAAGTAGTTAAAGTTTCTGCTCAAGCAAACACTTCGAAAGCTCAGTTAAATACTAAAAAAGTTCTCCAGAGCAAAAACATGGATCATGCAAAAGCTCGGGAAGTTTTGAAAATGGCCAAAGAGAAGGCACAAAAGAAACAGAGTGCAACTTCCACTTCCAAAAATGCACATTCAAAGGTCCATTTTACACGACGTCTTCAGAACACCAGCTCAGGTTCCCTCCCACCCCGATTGCGTTTAAAACCACAAAGGTACCGGAATGAAGAAAATGACTCATCTCTCAAGACAGGACTTGAGAAAATACGGAGTGGCAAGATGGCAACTAAGCCCCAGTCTCGCTGCTCCTCCACCCGCTCAGCAGGTGAGGCCCCTTCAGAAAATCAGAGCCCCTCAGAAGGCCCTGAAGAGGCCAGCAGTGAGGTTCAGGACACAAGTGAAGTGCATGTAACTGTTGATCAGGATGAACACCAGACATTGGGCAAGAGAGGCAGCAAAAGCAATATAACAGTTTACATGACCCTTAATCAAAAGAAATCTGACTCTTCCAGTGCATCAGTGTGTAGTAGTGATAGCACAGATGATTTGAAATCCACCAACTCTGAGTGTAGTTCTACTGAAAGCTTTGATTTTCCTCCAGGCAGCATGCATGCACCTTCTTCTTCCTCCTCCTCCTCCTCTTCAAAGGAAGAGAAAAAGCTCAGTAATTCCTTGAAAATGAAAGTCTTTTCCAAAAACGTCTCTAAATGTGTCACACCAGATGGCAGGACCATATGTGTAGGGGACATTGTTTGGGCCAAGATTTATGGCTTCCCTTGGTGGCCAGCCCGTATTCTTACTATAACTGTGAGCCGGAAAGATAATGGCCTTTTAGTTCGACAGGAGGCCCGCATTTCGTGGTTTGGGTCCCCAACAACATCTTTTCTTGCTCTTTCACAACTGTCCCCCTTTTTAGAAAACTTTCAGTCGCGCTTTAATAAGAAGAGAAAGGGCCTTTACCGCAAGGCCATCACAGAGGCAGCTAAGGCTGCTAAGCAGCTGACTCCCGAAGTTCGGGCCCTGCTGACACAGTTTGAAACGTGAACGTGGAAAGTAAGGTAGGCAAGAATTTGGAGGCTCCACAAAATTTATAGCCTAGTTAGAGAGCTGCCATGAAGGACTTGGCCAATTCAAAACGTTGCACTCAGTTGGCTGCTCTTTTTATACGAAAATTGTTCTAATTTGTAGCTGTTTCTTAAAAGTTAACTAAACAAATTGAACATGCAATCAAAATTAAAGTGAGAACTTCCGTATTTTTCAAACGAAAATCTTTTTTTAAATTAAAAACTCCTCCCATGCATAGGAGCCATAGCCTCAGCTGAAGGGCAGTTTATTTGCAGGGAATTTTTAGTAGTTTCTAGCCGGTATGTATCTAGTCACTAGATGGCAAAGGGTAAACAAGGGATGGAAGTAATTAATAGCTGTGACCTGGGTGGCCCACCAGGGGAAGTGTAAAAACTTAAGCCCTGTTTATGTTGGCCTTTAAACCTTGTTTCAACACTTCTGCATTAAGTAGCTTCTATACATATAGCTGGTCGGTGTGAATGGGGCCAAAGTGAGTTCAAACCATGTTTAAAAACATGCTTGGTTTCATCCACATGGCCAGTTTAAATTATGTTAGAAACCAATTTAACTATCCCCTTTAAACAGAGTTTAAAGGCCAGATTAAATGGGGTCTTGGTGACCACTTTTTTTCCCCAAACACTCAGCCTTTCTATGCACACAGGGGCACAAGTACGACACTTCAGGGTCTGACAAGCTGAGGGGATGCCTCTTGCCCAAAGGCAAAACTGAAATGTTACTCAGTATTTTGGGATCAAGGGCTGTTAATGCTGCATAGGTGTGAATCATAACTTCCTGTCTTTCTTCCACTGAAAAATCTTCCAGGCCACTTGTCTGGGAGTTTAGAGCAAGAGAGGTTTTGTTTGAATGTGTAAATAATTGATTGCTGAAACTAGTCAGATTTTCTTCTGACTGGTTGTTCCTAAATTCTTAGGATACGTCCTGGTAAATTACACTTTGTGAATTGTCAGATGTGTAATTGTTGCATTTTGGATGTATCTAACTTCATATTTTTTTTAATATTTCCGTTTTAAGGTATCTGTTTGCAGGTCAGAAAATGAGAATATGTAATTGTGTAATGCTCTGAAATGTACAAAACTGTAAATAAAATTGACTAAATCTGAATTACTTGTGTGTGTTTCTCAAAAAGCTTTGAAAAAATTTTAGGGTGTTTTCTGTGTACATGATATTGAGAGGAGACACCCCCTTTAAAATGTAAATTCTTTCTCATTCAGCACTTTTAAAAGATCATTTGCTGTAAAGTACTATTGGTATATACTTAGGGTTCTAATTTTGAGACTAAGCATTCATCTGTTTCCCCAAAAACTGGCTCTTGTCTTAGGTAAAGCTTGTCAAATTATTTCTCCATAAATTCAGTTCTGTTCCATAGATTTGAACAAAGACAGAAAATATGACTTATACAGTAAGGAAATGTTTTCAATCACCATTTTTTCCATCTGTCAAAAGCTAATTAAGCCCAATCTCCACTATTGTTAGCTACTCTTGCATGTCTGTTGCTCAGTGTTGGGGCATTTTCATGCAGTCGATTTTACATTTTTCCTTCCTAGTTTTGGTCTATACCTGACCATTTGAGTTACTATCTTTTTTTTTTTTTCCTGTTCCAGCTTTGTACGATCTTGTGAAGAATTTGGCTGCCTTCATTCCAGAACAATTCCCATCCCAAGTTTTTCCATTTTGCTCATATTGGCAAAGCACAGATGAGGAATACAAATTTAAACTTAAATTGAATGTAGTAGTAAAACTAAAATACAGTGTCAGGATTTAGTGATTGAACCCATTAAAGAATCTTTATTGTGATGCAGTTTTAGAAGCTTAATATGCTGCCTTGCAACTGACAAGTCAGTTCGTTTCCAAAACACTGAGTGTCTTCCAACCTTGTTCAGTTACTCTGATATCAAGTTCATGTAACTACTGAATATCTAGTGTGTTTAAAAAAAAAAAAAA